AAACGCTGATAGTCCAAGTCTGACTTTGGTTAGGACCAGAAGCATATGTAGGCATGGAGAGTACAAATTGTGCTTCTCTGAACATATTCTCCCAGTGTTATTTAAGGTACAAAGTAAACATATGGTTTTTAGGACTAAGGTGAGAAAAAGAGCTAAAGTCATGAGAGGGTAAGGAATACACAGAGAAGGAATCAAGATGATCCCCTGTTACCCACAATGTGGCCCAAACCACCACACTGCCTGGCCTGTACATGTGCACCTTGACCTCATAATCTGGCTACACATCTGCTTAAAACTGGGACTGTTGCTGAGTGCCAAAGAAATGCCAACTGGGGTCAGGGGAAGAGCCTTGTATTGGTGATGGGATTTACTTGGGCTTTGAAGGAAGGGTAAGGATTCATCGGCTAGAATGAACAGCATGAGCAATTTTAAAGTGGTAGACACATACGAGGAAAAAAGTCAAATAGTTCCATGTGACTGGAGAATCTTCTTTAAGACGTGCTATTTTTTACACTTCAGTCAAGAAGGTGACTGAACATCCTCCTACACAGACCTGCTCCCTATCTTCCAAAAGCTTGGCATTGTAGTTGGCTGCTGTACTACTGGTGCAGACTCCTTGAGCATATAGAATAAAAGCAAGAAACCACTATATGACCAGCTGGTCAAATGTTTATTCCAAATGTACATGCAATGGTTTTTTATTTTCAATCTGACATTGTGGCTTTATATGGGAGGGAGGGTGGAAATGTATGCTCTGTTTAGTATTGATAGCTTTAGAAAAAATAGCACCATATCAGAAGGATATCCCAACCATTTGCTCTTAGATTCATGCATAAGATATAGGGAAAATTATTTTTTAAATTATATTTTTTCATTCACCCTCTATTTGTGCAAAGTTCTTTGGCAGAGATACTCTGTTGATACCCATATGAAAACCAGAAAGCTCTGTTTAAATTGATATATATTGAAGGGCTTATTGAATGAACCTATAAATTAAATGAAAACATCATTTTCATGGTGCAGTCAAGTTAGCTAAACCCTCGGCTGCCATCAGCTCAGTTTCCTAGGATCTTGTTCAGTTGGAATCATGTCTTTTCATTTTTATAGATTCTTTTCTTACATCTACTATCTTATGAGTGGTTGGGGCAGACTCTTCTCAGATACAAGCGATCATCGCCTTATTCTAATGTAGGAACTGCTTCTGACCCGCTCATTCCATTCTTGTCAGCATTCACAGCATGAGATGTGATTCTTTTATTACTTAATTCCTTACTTTCCTCACATACATTTCCACTTCTATTTTCCCATCTCCTTTCATTTTTCCCTCATGTATTTGTTACTTTGTAGTTTCTCTTCTCCTTGAGAGAACCAAGTAGAACCCCACGGTTAAAAATAGTTTCTGACATTATTTACGATTCTTAAGAGGCAGTCTTGCAATCACCTTTTCTCATTTGATTTCCACCTAACATGCTGACAGTGCTCCAATCCTGTTTTTTAATTATCCTATTACATAGTGCTTTCCTTTGCATTTAGTAAAAACTTACAAGCAATGGTTCTGTTTGAATAGCACTGCCGAGTCATCATTTACAATTTTATGGAATTAGAAAGGCAAGAGGAGGAAAAGACTGGGACTTAAATTATTATTTAAAAGGAAAAGCATTAATCAACTGTTTTGGTAATAGGTTGAACCAGTCTTCATCAGCATGCCTGTACTAGAGCCACCTTTGTGTTCATGAAATGGACAGTTTCCTTTTTCTTTCCCAGGGAGAGCATTGTGCTTATATTGAAGAGTAATGCATTTTAAATGCAGCCTCAAAGAGGCAGACAAACTCAATTGTCTGCCCATTGGGATACAATTTCAGGAAAAAGTTGCCACAAATAAAGGCATAGGAAATAACTTAAGAATTCATTTACTGTACTTATTGGTTTTACCATAAAATTGTAAATATTCATAGTCAGTAATAGCACAGAGACACTAACAGTTTAGCAGTATTAGTCGTGTGGTATGTGTGTGTGTTTTAGTTGTGCTCTGAAAGAACCTACAAATAACTAAATTTATATGAAGCCACAACACC